ATTACAGTGGAGTTCTTCAATTGGTCTAGTTTGGTACCAATCAAAACCGAATCTTACGATGCAGCAGCGGAAGCCCTGAGTTCCAAGAAACAAAACATTGAAATAGATCTTTGGGACGAACCTAATCTTGATGAAATATTCTTGAGGTTTTCCTTGAAGTCGGATGGCGTACCCTCAAGCCCATATAATTACATTTTTCCAAAGCCACTGACATCGATCAAAGGTTTAAATGTCCCTCGAATTCAGGTTTGTATAAATTCGTTTTAAAATACCAGCATCTTATATTTAAGAATTGTTGAACTTAATGCCGCTTGTCGCGGTAGAAATGTTTTTGTTTAAAATAGATAAATATTTTTTATTTGATTAGATAAAATATTTAAAGTTTTGGTCACCGGTGCTCATAGTCGATAACAAGCAAACCCCATCATCCGACTTTTGATTTTTTTTAAATGGCTACATTTACTTTGCGCGTAAGTTTGTGTTTGTTTGTTAGTAGTAATTATATGTTCGATTAGCAGCTGTTGTATGAACCATTGAAAGTTAAAGTGGACATTAATACCTACTATCAATGTGTGTTATATTTGTGGGCCCAGAGATTAAAATATAATTAGAAAGAAAACATTAACATTGGTTTTACTTATTTTTTTCTAACTGTGCATATATTTCTAATTTTTTTTAGATACATGTGACAAAGGTTAAACGAAGAAGAGTCGATAATCTAATAGAGTACAACGTGGATATAAGGGTTGATACGGTGGTATTGTTTCTCTGGTTAGAAGCGGATTCAGTAGATGGCCATTTTGAAGACAACGGTTTTATATTAGCGCAGCCTTATATCCGTGTCAAGTATACAAGTAAATCGAATATGAAACCGCAGAAATTAGAAAAGTCGATCACTTTTCAATATTACGTGAATTGACAAAATGAATCTTATAAAAGTTTATTAAACGTTTTGCGTAAAGAAAAGTTGTTGTGTGTACGATATTAAAATAAAATAAAAAAATTAATTGAATTTTGTATAAAAAAAACAATTATCCAAATGTAGCTTAAAAACTTTTTTATGAAGATATGCGTGAACCATACTACTTTCGTTTACGGATCATTTTCACAGATTACACAGAGATTGATTGACGTATTGTACGATTGATTGTATAGTAACCGGCAAACATCGTGAGCAAATGACCTTGACTGCGCAGAACCGAATTTTAGATCACTTTGGTGGTGAGGGTGAGGCGCGACGGCAGGGGAAATCGTATCGAGCGCGTTATTGGTAGATCAGTCGAACCTTGCGTCCCGCACCGCGCCTTCGTTCCGCTTGCTCCCAAAAGTACGCTTGCGTACAGTGGAAAGTCTATCGTTATTAATCGTTAAGTTATTTGTTATAATTGCTTGTGGACTTTGTTGCCATTGCTATTTGTTGAGTGTTTGTTGATTTTTTATAAAACATACACTATGCCGTGACAAACTGGTGTAGTACTTAAAAGAAAGGGTAGAAAATTTGTGTACGACGTATATTGCTTCATTATAAAACAGGGGAAGAATGATATGGAAAAATTAAAACAGACTTCGGAAGCAACAAAAACATCAGTGAGTACTGTTAGGTGCATTATTAACGAAGCTAAAGGCTCTGGCTTGCTCGCCGTGTTTCGGACTCCGGGTAAGAAAAGATCAGGGAAGAAGAAAGTTACCGGAATGGATAGTTTCGTTCAATCTGTAATAAAAAGATGTAATCATAATAACTACATAACAAGCAGCGAAACTCCGTACCGTAGAAAGGCTTCGAAAAATTTAAAGAAGATATAAATTTTAATGGCTCGGAATGAAGTTTACGACGAATTATGAAAGAGCTAGGCTTCAGATGGAAAAAAAAAACAGAAAATAATCGGAAGCTGGTAATTGAAAAAAGTAACATTCGATTACTACGAATCGAATATCTTCAAAAAATAATTAATTATAGACAAAAAAGAAGATCGAACCGACCGAGTCGTAAACTACACCGATGAGCCCTATGTCGACTTATCACGATGATGGCGACTCGGGTGATGAAAACAGTGATGATGATAATGGTCAAGATTATGATAACGAAAAAAAAATTACAAATACCAGCTTCGCTTCAACTGAACGAAGACCTGGCAACAGCTCTAGTTTTGACTTAATAGAAGGAATATCTATTTTACCCCAAGATTAAATTATTACAATTATTAACCTATATTTTTTGTTGATGTTCTAATAAATATATAAATAAATACATATGTTGATTTTAATAATTTAATTGCATTATGACGCAGAGTAAATAATGTTTTTGCACGTGAGTGTACCATGCGCAAACTTACCCCCACTACGTCAACAAATGCTCAAGAAGTTTGCCGTCTATTATACAGTGTATGGTTCATGTGTCGTAAGGTGGATGAGCATGACAGAATCGCAGTGTATTAGTTGCAATCTACACCGCAATTGTCGTGGGCTGAATTTTTATTTGTTGCATAGACGACTGAACGAGCTCACGGTCGAACTGGCGTGAAATATTTACCGGAGCTCATAGACATAAAAACCTGATTGCTTTACCTTGAGATTTGAGACTCTTAAATTGTTTAAAAAATACGAACTTTACTATTTTTGTTGGTTTGATTCTTATTAAACGATTTTATTCATTCATCGTGGACGTCTTCTGTGAACATTTGTTAAGTACGAATTTCGGTATCGTAAAATTGGCAACCAGCAGCGGGATTCGAAGATCGGCGTGGTCGCATCGTTCGATACGAATGCACCGGACGCCTTATCCTTTAGTCCACGACGACTTTATATACATGTGTTAAATATGTATTTCAACAGAAGAATACTTTGAAACGGCGCGACACGATAACCCTCTTTTCATAGCCGCCACTAATTACATATCCGACCAGAGCGACAGGGCAATACAAACTCTCCGTCACCCAAAACCTCTTGTCGGATCCCCTGGATCCGCTCTCGGTGCTTTTAGGCTCTTCAAGCACCGTTCTCGCCGAAATCGTCGATTACTACGTGCCAACTAGTCCATAGACACAACACACTGATTTTCTCGCCGAATCTTTTCATTAGGACGTGATTTCGATCTGGTGGGCTTTAATCAAAGGGCTGGGAAAACGCCACTACTTTTAGATTTCTTTGTTTTTCTGTAAGTGGCATCTAAAAGGGGTCCTTAACTTATATTTAGTTAAAGTTAATTTCGAGACTGCTTTTATTCAGGGAGGCCAATAATTTAAACTAATGGTTTCACAATCAAACACACAATATGCAAATTAAAACTTTTATTAGAAAGCAACACTAAGTATGCAGTTAATACATAATATTAGCGTTTCGCAATGCAATAAACTAATTATAAATATAATTATATTATAAATTATAATATAATACTTTTTATACAAATTATACAACTTAAATAAATCTGGACGATTCTTTAGCAACTGCTAAGGGCTGTTTATTTTAAAATACATGAAAAAAAATCTTGCGTAATATAATAGTCATATTTCCTAAGTTAGGTATTTATTAAAACAGTAGGTAAGTATTTGGCCAAAGTTACATAAAATACGATAGAATATGAAATAGTTTGCGCGGACAAGCACACAAAGCTGGAGACAATTAGATATTGGATGAGAATATAGTTTGGATTGCTTAGTAAAATTCGACTCAACTGTTTGAATCATATATCATTTCTTTAGTACTTATCTAAATTTATGTCCTTCCAAAATGGAGCACATCTTACATGCACCGAGTTTTTTTAATATAAGCTATTATTTCAATAGTTATAAGAATCATTTTCAAATGATGATCAAGAAAATTTAAAAAAGAAAGAATACTGTATTAATTTATAATTTGTCAAATTGTGGTTCTAAAAAAAAACTTGTATTCAATGATGGTGTAGTGTTCAAAATTAAAATTTAAGCGTCTCTGTTTTCTTTTTGTTTATAAGCTATTATTTTTCGCGTTTCTACATTTATTCAATTGTCAATTGTTTTCTAAATTTTTAAATTAAATGATAATTCACAATTCGTCCACAATGACATAATAATAACGTTAAAATGCAAATTACAGATTTCAAAATTTACGTTTAAAGATCATTTTAATGACATGTTATTTATTAAGTAATTTACATTCCACTAATAAAGTTTTAATTCCCAGTAATATAGGATTGGAAGCACTGTTTTGCTTTTTAGACTTCGGTTGTACCTATGCTCACTTAATTTCCATAGAGATGCAATATAAAAAATATAAAAAAAGACTTTTATTTTATAATATCGATAAAGTTTTATTATTTGACATTGGTTTTATTATAAATAGCAGAACTACAGAATATCTTCTAAATTTTTTGTGGAAAACTTTAAAACTATGTTGTAAGAATGTAATTTTCGAGTAAAATACTTATTTTTATCAACATCGTAATATATAAGATTTTGAGTATTCGACAACTTTCTTATCTTAGTGAACAATTCTATGATGATATTCGAAACCGGAGAGGTCATTATGCGTAGGAAGAATTTGCGATTCCGTTTAAAACGTCGAACAACCGTTTATCAAAAAGTATTAACAGATAATAATATCATTAACATAAATTCATGAATAAATTTCAAATTGAAATATTTAATATCATTATTTAAAAACGTACACTTAAAAACATTAATAAAGCACCATTTATATATTACTCATCACATTAGGCTGGCCTATAAAACTTCTACAATATATCAAAATGTGATTTAGTATGTGGCGTTTAAGAACGCACCTTTTTATGATGCGTAAGCCGGAACGCACGAGAGGTGAAAAAAAAAGAAGATAGTCTGTGAGACGGGACCTTTTTTTTACCGCCGAAAATTTAAAAACGAAAAAATAATTTATAATGTGTTTAACAACTAATATAATATAATAACTTAGAATTGTTTTAAAATTTCTATTGTTTCAATTGTGGTGTTAATTACATAAAACACGACTTTACGGCGAAATAAAGAAGGGACTCTATAATAATATGGACTCCCTCAAGTATATGATTCAAACTATATTCAGATTGAAATTATATTGAAGCGTAAAAGTAGTGTCAATTATATCTACCACTGGCGAAAACTGAACAATACCTCTTTAGTCATTGCAAACAATGTAAAATTGTTTACAAGACTATTAGTCTTTCAAATTATATATGAAGGTAATAAATCTATTAGATACGACAGCGAAGTTAAAACATAAAACACTACAAAACTGTTTATATTGAAATGTATATGAGAATATAGGGATAGACTGACACAGCTGACTGACTGAATAGAAGATATTGATTACTTAGTTTCGAGTCAAGATTCAGTCTTCTAACGATCATCTGGGAGGTTTATTACGTGTAAATACATTTTTTTATCATTAATATTTGAATAAAATAAATTCGCCAAAGAATCTTAAATTGCATGTTAAAGTGTATGTCGGATTTGTGCTGAGTGCAAGATAACCGATCCAGTAAATGAAGACGTTGGCGATTCACCATTTCATCGATAAAATTTATCGATAAAATCTGTGATAGTTAAAAAATATATTTTTATCGTAAATAGGATTGATAACGCGCACATCCCTATCGTTAACCCTCGTGGGCCTTAGATGGGGATGGTAGCGGGGGGCGGGAGAAGACGACGCCGTGCTTTTGAAAATGTGATCAATTTTTTTTACGTTTTTTACGTTTCAGAGTAGCTACCTAACTTGTTAAGCTACCTATTAAGTTCGTTGTTCACACATCAATAAACTATACCTTCTACTGTTATAGTTTTTGTTTAAGGGATTAATTAAAGCATTGAATTGTTTCTTTTTTTAAGTAAAATATAACACACTGGATCTTCAATGTTTTTGAATTATCACTATTTGTTCGACGAGAGAATATTTTGCTAATATTTTTGTGCACTTTATGCAATTTAACATTATAAAGCAGATAATTAGCGAAGCCCACGACTTGTGACGCGAGCGACGCAATTTTAATGGAATACATAATTTAACGTTATTTTTTCTTGCGCGGCAAATGTAATGAGTTTTCCATGTCAGACACAGAAAACCAATACGGCGTGAACTCCGACGTCCATGGACATCAGCAATGCTGGGGATCACTCAGCAGAGCCACTACTTGCTTGTGTTCACTAATTCACAAGACTAACTGAAAAATGACACGCCGTTAACCACTGGGACAATGTGTCGCAAACAAGATGCGATTTATTAAAAATATATATGAACACTTCTTCGCAGCGGTATTAAGGATCGTTTTAAATGTCTATATAAGATACATTTTACTTTAAATCTCAACTCATTAACGAAAAATCTTAAAGGCAATCAACTATTTTATTGTTTTTTTTTTAAAGCGCAATATGCTTTGAACTTTTAGAGAGCAGATAATATAATATTTCATTTAGTTCTTAATAAAACAAGAACAGACTACATTTGGTTTCGTTCATTCAATTAAATTTAGAACTATTTTACTGAAATTATAATATGTATGTATTCATTAGATGCGCATACTAGTGCGGTCCACTGGGAATTGTATTTAATTTCTGCAAAAATCGATTTTTTAATTTTTCTTACCTCGATTCCCTATCTCGATTTCAAATTACTTTTATGTTATCAATTAATAAAGTGAATTTATAAATATATTTTATTTTTCAATAAAATGTATCTAGCTTTATTCGAAACCTGTTGGTTGTTTACTTAGATATCAATTTAATTCAACGGATAGCTTCATGCGGCGTTAGTAAGTAATCCATATAAGTCTACTAAATGTTTTCATAATTTATAATTTATAATTTAAATTTAATTAAAAATAAAATGTTTTCAATTGACCTTTGGTTAGTTGTCCCATGCAATTCAATACATATAGGCACCATATCTGGAAAGAGACACATCCATTTCTTTTTAATGACGATAACTATACGATTAATATAAATAAAAGCGGGTTATGCGAAAAAGACCCAATCAATAAATTTGTAATAAAATCACATTTATAATTTAGTAATAAAATCCAACACAACTTTTATGCAACAATAAGAAGCATGATTCGAGTATACATTGAATCGTCATAAAATTGTCTTAATTTTGAAGGGAACGACAGAAAAGCAAATCATAATACACAAATACATACTTCCCTACATTGGGTCGTTTTTGCTTAACCCTTTGACTGCCATGTAGGATGATGTAGGTAACCGTCATTATGTCGATTTCTGTTACTAAGACCCCGGAGTATCTAGTGACGTCTGGGAAAGACGAATTAGAGGATACTGAGAAAGAGTTTATTTCTAATAGACCTAGAAGACAAAAACATACATTACAAACCAAAAGAAGGCAAAGTTAGGTAATTCAGTGACAGAAATCGATATAATTACTTCAGTATGCCACGTAGGGCTCCGGTGACCTATACGACAGTCAATTTACATGACATGACATGACAAGAAGAAAGCAATGTTTTAACTAAATTATAATTTGAAGTCGTCGTGGCCTAAAGGATAAGACGTCCGATGCATTCGTATGTAGCGATGCACCGGTGTTCGAATCCCGCAGGCGGGTACCAATTTTTCTAATGAAATNGTATTATTTTACTATATTTCATTAGATCAGGAAACACACCACCATCAATACAGTCATTAAATATTGTAGCAAGGTAAGGTGCAATTATATCAATAATGGATTTTATAACATTAATTGAAATTCCCCATAAATCACCAGTTTTCTTAATATTAATGAGCTTGAAATTATCAATTATGTCCTTTATATCAATATTTGTGAACTTAAAGTTAACACTGCATTTATCAACATGATTTCATTGAGGGTCTGCCGAACACCTTCATTACGCAGATTGAAGATCGACCTTTATTGATATACTTGCAGATATATTTTATCGCACGTACAGAATTGCAGGCTTCAACATTGATGTGGGCGTCGAATAATTTACACAAAATCGGCGAATATGGCACAACCCAGCTCAAAACTCTTGATTTCACCACTGCGAGTCAGAATGTCAACTTGTTTACCACCATAGCAGGCGCTCTTCGTCTATATAACGGATAACCTTTATCATTGTGAACTGTTTCTCTAATCAGTTCCCGAGGATACTTTTTTATACACTTGCACTGTGGAAGTCCGTATCGATGGTACTGTTGTCAACAAAATGTAGAAACTTCATCAGCAACGTGTACCGTTTAATGCTCATAATTTTTCTGAACTCGGGCATGCTTAAAATGCCGGTAGACCAGTACTCATCGATACGGCTTCGGACGCAGATGCTCATAAGTATTATGACGGCGATCAAGCGGTAGAGTTTGTCGACGGACGTTTCGACCCAAGCATTGAGACGCGATTTAGGGGGGATTCCTCTTTCGGTCTCTGTACATTTAACTATAGTCTCCCAGTCGTATTGATTGGTGCTGGCCACAATAGACTCCATCAGGGTTTGGTCCCAAAGGAGAAACCCCATTCTGGGCCTAAGCGTTACACGAATGGGATATGTACCAAAAAATTCGTCTATTTTGCTTGATTAACCTATTGAAATCTTAGCTTCATTGACAATGGCCTAGTGTAGAAAATAAGTTGAATTCTATTTTTTGTTTTAAACAATCTTTGTAAACATCTGCAACACTTATTTCAATATACGTAACTAGCTCTACAAACGTGCAGATTAGAATTAGAGCATCCCTAAAATAGGATCGATTTAGTGGAAATCGAGTGCTAAAAATAATTAATACTCCTTTGTTTTAGGATAAATGACTTTTTTTATAGGTATTTGAATCAATGTAAATAAAGTATGGCCATCGAATCGTGACACAACTACTTACAATGGCGGCAATTCAAAATATCTACAACTGACAACATTAAATATAGCATGAAAGGGTAGTTTTGCATTTTTATATTAATGTGACTATGCCATAGAAAAACACAAATGTTTAAATCATTACATTCATGTACAATAAGTTCATGTTATTTTATCTTTAATGCTGCCAACTGAAGATATTTTGGATTGCCGCTATTTAGTTGTGCCATGATTCGCTGGCCAGACTATAAACTTAATCTCATTGAATAACGTAACGTTAAGCACCAAAATGTACGAACAAAAATCATCAAAAGAAATAAATAACTGTGCCATTTAGCTATGACACGAAATCATGCCGGCAACTGCGGCAGTTCAAAATATTTTCAACTGGCAATCTTAAATATAACATGAAAAATCAGATTTGATACTTTTGAGTTTTTCTATGGTGTAGTTACATTAATAATTTTACTGGTGGTAGAGCCTCTTGTGAGTCCGCGCCGCCCACCCTCCTATTTCTGCCGTGAAGCAGTAATGCGTTTCGGTTTGAAGGGTGGGGCAGCCGTTGTAACTATACTGAGACCTTAGAACTTATAACTCAAGGTGGGTGGCGCATTTACGTCGTAGATGTCCAGTAACCACCTAACACCAGGTGGGCTGTGAGCTCGTCCACCCATCTAAGTAATAAAAATAAATAAAAAAAGGCATGAAATAAAATAAAATGAAATGAGATGAGATGATTTGGGAGCACGTAATGATTTATATTTTATATAAAAAAGTTATCATTAAAATTCAAATAACACTGACTTAAAGGTCTTTGTTACCAGGTCATAAAATCCCTTAAAAAAATCATTTCGTGCGCAACGCGTTTCGCATTAGGTTGTTTTTAATTTTTGGCTTTCGTTCGCTTTCGTAAACAACCTAATGCGCGATTTCTCGTAACAGGTTCCATTTTTACTTTCAAAGCAACCTGTTGCTGCAACAGGTTTCGTAAAAAATTACTCATCTTTAGTAGGAAACTGCCTCAAAAATATCGTTTTTTATTAAAATATCTCGAACAATAAACATAACCTAAAATGTAAACATTGTCTGATTTTACCAATTTGGCCATTGCTGGGAGAGCTGAAAATTGGGCTCATGAAACCTTCTTAGGTATTGTAATTTATGCCCAAATTCTAGCACTGTAACGCCAGGCCCAAGTTTGTATGGATTTCGGGTTTCTCCTTTGAGAGAATACCGCTAATGGGCTTGTACCCTCAATTTTGGTACCGACACCCTCGTTGAAATGCTCCAGCACACCTGTAAAGCCTGCAAAGTCTGAAAAGTCCTTCGACCAGTCATATACCGTATTTAAGGCACTGAGCGCGGGCTCAGCTATGGCTTCGACCTCTTCGTTGCGCTCATTGAAGTTGTCATCATCCCAGATCGCCTGCAGTTGCGAATTTAATTGACCTTCATCGTCAAACTCGTCGTCGTCGGCTTCGCTCCCAGAATCTAAGAGCTGGGTTAACGGGGCGTCAAAATGTCTTCATCATTCTGAAATAAAACACCATGCTATTCAAACCGAAACCTTAAAATTTCAACAAAAAACGGCACACCCAAACAAAAAATACTAACGAATTAGATAATAAACGGATTAGTAGGCAAAAGGCGGTCTTATCGCTAATGTACTGTGCTTTGCTGATATTAGTATGCCATCAGGGTTCAAGGATATATATATCGACGGTTATCAAGATACTTATGGCTTGCTATTTTTAATATTTAAATTTCAAGTCTTAAAATCAAGCCAAAAACTGAAACCTTTATCTTAGATTCCTGATTATCATATCACATAAATGGGACATTCATACACGGCCATCTAACCACAAAATAAGCATAGCTTGTACTTATTATACAAATAAAACGTTCATGCATTGGTTCTTTGCGGGGATCGGACTCGCGACTTCTGCCTTAGTAAGCAGGCAACATCATTGCATTATCAATTGAATTAATCTGCCAGTCGAGATAAGCCAAGCATCAGCCGACAATTGCGAAAAAAAAAAAACAAGAAAAGCCTGAGAAAATAAACCGTATTAAATCCAATAATGTATTATCCGATAAAAAATAATAATTAAATATATTTTTTTATTGCTGGATGAGTGGACGAGCTCACAGCCCACCTGATGTTAAGTGGTTACTGGAGCCCATAGACATTTACGACGTAAATGCGCCACCCAGCTTGAGATATAAGTTCTAAGGTCTCAAGTATAGTTACAACGGCTGCCCCACCCTTCAAACCGAAACGCATTACTGCATAACGACAGAAAGAAGCAGGGCGGTGGTACCTATCCGCACGGACTCACAAGAGGCCCTACCACCAGTAAAAAGCGGCAAAGCGGCAAACATAGGTAAACGTTGCAACTCCATACAAATTTGAGTTAACTTTGACGATATCCAGAACGTTAAAAAACTTCCAGTAAGCACACAGATTGAGTCGCTACTGTTAGCCATTGCTCAGTCGGCAACCTTTTCCAAAACCTCAATATTTTTTCATTGTTTCTTTATTACCTACTTTTATTTTTGCTGATTCTAACAAAATAAATATAACGAAGGAAAAATACATTGATCATAATTACTTTAATCAAGGTGCCGTGGCCTTTTGATCGGTCGATTAACGATATATCACAGACAGGTGCAGTGTTCGGTAATTACGTGAAGAGGGTCGTAAATAAACCGCGCGGGGTGTGCAACCCACGACCCGCTAAGCTGTGAACTCGCCGAGTGTCACTACGGGCGCCCTCTACTGTTTGTTCTGCACACAATCACAGGGCTCCCAGATTTGGTTTTTTATTTGTTTTTATTGCTTAGATGGGTGTTAAATGGTGTTAAGTGGTTACTGGAGCCCATAGACATCTAGGTACAATGTAAATGCGCCACCCAAGTTCTAGTCTCAGTATAGTTACAACGGCTGCACCACCCTTGAAACCGAAACGCATTACTGCTTCACGGCAGAAATAGGCAGGGTGGTGGTACCCACCCGTGCAGACTCACAAGAGGTCCTACCACTAGTGAGAAGTTGATAATTATCTTTTAACGGCTCCAAGTGATAGGACTTGTGAAACGTGTTCTAACCATATGAAATGAAACATAGACGCAAACAAGTTACAGCCCGTAACAATGTCACACTTTTAATTGTTTTGAAGTAAAAATTCTTTACGCACGCTTGACTTGGGGTATAAGATGGTAGATGCGTGACGAGAGCGTTACGGAAAGTGTGATCGGTCAAGGCGAACGGTAGTTGAGAGGGAGGTTTAAGTTAGTGAAGATCGAAGTCGTCGTGGCCTAAAGGATAAGACGTCCGGTGCATTCGTGTTGAAGTGATGCACCGGTGTTCGAATCCCGCAGGCGGGTACCAATTTTTCTAATGAAATACGTGCTCAACAAATGTTCACGATTGACTTCCACGGTGAAGGAATAACATCGTGTAATAAAAACCAAACCCGCAAAATTATAATTTGCGTAATCACTGGTGGTAGGACCTCTTGTGAGTCCGCACGGGTAGGTACCACCACCCCGCCTATTTCCGCCGTGAAGCAGTAATGCGTTTCGGTTCGAAGGGTGGGGCAGCCGTTGTAACTATACTGAGAACTTATAACTTATATCTCGAGGTGGGTGGCGTATTTACGTTGTAGATGTCTATGGGCTCCAGTAACCACTTAACACCAGGTGGGCTGTAAGCTCGTCCATCCATCTAAGCAATAAAAAAAAAAAAAAAAAAAATAATGCTCACTGTTATCTAGTCTTTAATAGTGAATTAACTAGTATATAATCCAGTATTTTTCATAATCTGTGGCGTTATAAAAGTTTGAAGCTGTAAATATGTAAAAAAGGGCGAAGGCAGTTTCACCCATTAAGGTTCTATGACTGCAACGCACTTGTAGCATTACTAAGTTTTATGTCACAGTATCGGATGTCACGACAATTTTCTCAATTTTGAATTGAATTTCAAAATTGTGTAAAATGGGGGTACCTACAAGTAAGGAAGAGAAAAACTTAATCTTGTTTTTAATTTACAAAAATTTCAAGAGAAAGTGTAGAGTGGAGTTGTCCAATTCAAATCCAAGTTTACAAGTAAAAATCAATGCATTGTTATAGGATTATTAGAGTTAGATGTTTTGACAGGAACGTTTGTGGTACAACCTAAATGACAAAGAGTTTTGTGGGATCACGTTAAATTCATACATATAAATTAAACATTTGAGGTGCACTGATTCTCGAATTGGAATACAGAATGTGTCAACATAACATTTAGAAAAAGCGTCTGAGTTAAAGCACAGATAAAATAAGGAAATAATCAAACCTTCCTTTAAACCGATTTAATACATCTCTTCTCAACTTAACTAGTATTTCCATTAGCTGTCTATTTAATAAATTAACTTTTGCTTCAACTACGGACGTTTGCGAGCCACAAATTGGAAAAAAGATGCATTAGTGCTTAGTGGAAGGTTTCATGCGTGGTGCAATGTATTTTCACGCGAAATGACCATCGGAGTTAGTCGTTTGTTATTAACGTGATAGTATTAGGTATTTACCTGTGGGTAATTGCCATTTAATATATAGAAAGCTAAAGTTTTTTTTTTTCTATCAATCGAAATATACGGCCATGCTATCGATACATATCTACTAGAGTAGTGGTAATTTTTAAATTGCCTTCTTGAATAAGGTCCGTGTACGGCAGCCAACTAATTCTACAAAGGCATTTTATGCTGCTTCTCTGTCATTGAATTTTCTATACCGATTCTTGTATATTCTAATTTATGTATATGTGATTTTCTTTTCTTGAACGAACTAAAATTCCATTTTATATCTGGTGGTTTATTTTCCGCAAACTTGCATGCTAGAATAATCTAGAGATGAAAAGCTAATTGAATAAATGTTTACTCGTTGAATACACTTCAAACATATGTCTTGAACCTTTAAATATCTAGGAGAACTAGAGATTGAATTAAAAGTTAAAATACCTTTATTTTTTATCATACCCTTTTAATTGACTTTTAAGAGAGAAAAAAAGTGCATTTGTATATTATAATAGGTACTGTTTAAGAACAATAAAAACATAAATTCAGTGCAGAAAAATATTATCAAATACCCACCTCAGGATTAAGAGCGTCCGAATAATGACCTAAATGACAAAGGACATTAGTTAATAAATCAAAGAGGTTAACACAATTCTAGGGTTACATTTATTTTTATGTGCAATTAAATATTAAATAAAAAACTAGCAGAACTACAAGAATGAATGATAAAACATATTTTAATGGATTTCAACTTTTTATTTTATTGCTTAGATGGGTGGACGAGCTCACAGCCCACCTGGTATTAAGTGGTTACTGGAGCCCATAGACATCTACAACGTAAATGCCACCACCCACCTTGAGATATGAGTTCTAAGTTCTCAGTAAAGTTTCAACGGCTGCCTCACCCTTCAAACCGAAACGAATTACTGCTTTACGGCAGAAATAGGCAGGGTGGTGGTACCTACCATTGCGGACTCACAAGAGGTCCTACCACCAGTTAACCAATTCTGTTGATTAAGGCGGAAGATCGTGTCGCATAGATTAATTAGTCTTTGATAAGTTCTGGAAGGTTTATTTGAAAGGAGAAATCTGGGAATTATAATATTTATGACTTACTTTCGCCTGTATTTTATCTGATTGAAACTTTGTACTTATTGTTGGTACTTTAGCGATTTTATAGTACCAGGAATGTACGGAGATGCTCGAATTGTCATGAAATAATTTTGAGTTAATGCGTTTTGCAAAGTGTATTTCACTATTTATATCGTGAAGGCCTGCTAATTTTGAAAACGTGAAATCCATTAAAAAAATGTTCTTTTTGATTTTCAAATCACAATTACTATACACAATTTAATATATTTCAACATAAAACTTAACATACATTTTGACTGTTACTTAAATTCGATTTTGTGATTCATTCATTACTTAAATAAAATGTTTCATCAACAATAATGATCTGAAACGTTGCTATGCTAATGAATTCTATTCTAAGCCAAAATAATTAAGAAATGCATAATTGAATATGCAATTTCGAAAAGGGCACATGTCGCATATTTTGTCAAATACGTTTTTTTATATACATGTAGTTTTCAGGCTTACCTACACCCATTTTATTATAATTCCAGTAATTTTCAATTGCTAATTAACACTAAAATATATCTCAAAAGTTAATATTTAAAATTTTACACTGCTTTAGAAAGTAATCAGTTTTTTCATTTCCTGACCATTTTACATTTTCAGAGATGTGCCCTTTTCGAAATTGCATATTAAATTAAAGGCTAAATAACTTTATAACATTATTAGAGACAGGTATGAGAGTTAGGCCTTTGCCTGTTTGATAAATTAGAAATGCTTCAAAAACATATTTAAATAAAAGATTGGCGTGGTTTGTTACGAAAAAAAAAACATGTTATAGACATATTTGACTTAGGTAATAACTTAATACTTAATAATAGCAGTGTTGATTTTGATGTGGTAAAAAAATGATAACAAATTATTCGAACAATCACTTCCAAACTGAATATCTATCGTAAAATCTGATCCAGACATTTCCTAATTCCGCGTTGATGGCCTTTATAAAAAAGTGCAATAATAGCAATAAAGCAAGCAAGTGACAATCATTGAATTTCATCAACATGTTCTAAGTTTATTAGTTGAATCGTAAAAATATTTTTAACCAAATCTTATTATGTTTTAACAACAATTGGATGTATTTGTTTTAATGGGATTATGAGAATGCGAGAATTGCATCAATCGTGACGTCATTATCGATGAGACAATTCCGAGTGTTCTGGCGGGAAATTTAAAAATAATAATTCCAATTTTGAAATCATTTTTTCAAGGTTATAAAGATCTTTAGGTATTATGTTTCGAAAAATTGTCACAAATCCCGCTATTAGGATAGAACATTGTTGACTTCGACATCCAAGTATATAGAAATATATTTTAACAAATAGTGAATGTCCGGCATTCTAATTATAAACAAAAAGACTTTCAAAAATTTTATATATACATATATATTTAAGCGTCTAGTGCACATTATTCTTTTGACGTTCTTGTAACTGTTACGTAAAACGTATTACGTCATCCGATTAGGGGAGGTCTATTCCTGTCTGGATTAGACTTTACTGACACCCGATTTACCTGACACGAGAATGTAAGGCGGCCCTCTCGTCCGTTGGCGTGTCTCGGAGGAATGCTGACGATAAATTCAGGACCACCATAAGACAGCATAGTAACAAGGGACCTAGTATAGCTCCTTCGGGACCGAGATAGAAGATACCGCCCGCTATAGCTAGACCTGTCACGTAGGGATGTCCACCACTGGAAATTCAATGGTAAGCCATAGTATATTGTAGTTTAATGGTAGCCACAGGTATAGCCATGTTGACTGTCATTTAGGGGTCACTGGTGCCCTAAGTGGTGCACTGAAGTAAGTATGTCGATTTTTCTCTCCGATCTTTTTGCTAAGGCGCTGGAATATCTAATATACTCTAGGAAAGACGAATCCGAAGATACTGCGAATGAATGTATTTCTGAGATACCTAAAAGACTAAACATAGATTAACAAACAAAAGATAGCAAAGTTAGGCAATCCAAGCGTTTACTAATAGAAATCGACATACAATTACTTCAGTGCCCGCGTAGGTCACCGGTTCAAGTTCATTCTTACTGGTGGTAGGACCTCTTATGAGTCCGCACGGGTAGGTACCACCGCCCTGCCTATTTCTGCCGTGAAGCAGTAATGCGTTTCGGTTTGAAGGGTGGGGCAGCCGTTGTAACTATACTGAGACCTTAGAACTTACATCTCAAGGTGGATGGCGCATTTACGTTGTTAATGTCTATGGGCTCCAGTAACCACTTAATACCAGGTGGGCTGTGAGCTCGTCCACCCATCTAAGCAACAAAAAAAAATATAAAAAAATATCACGAGACTTTACATTAAATGCATTGTAAAGGTGTAAGCCGCAATCAAAAATTGAATTTAAAAAAAAACTCACTCTTTAATCTCAGCGTAAACAGCCGCATCTAAAAATGCGATGGGTGCGGCTTGAACAAGGGGCAGCATCACAGCCGCCAAGGGTCTGCCCTGAAGCCACACATCAAGAGCTGCCGGTAAACCCGCCAAATATGGCCCTAGGAACGGCGCAGCTCCTAGCACTGCAGCTAGAACTGAAATATCAATTATGTACTGTGTAATATACATCTTCTTCTTCTTCTTCATATCAGCCCATGGACGTCCACGGCTGGACATAGGCCTCCCCCAAGCCTCGCCACAAAGACCGGGCCTGCGCTGCCTGCATCCAGCGGATCCCCGCGAACCTCAATAGATCATCGGCCCATCTTGTGGGAGGCCTACCCACGCTACGTCTTCCAGTACGCGGTCGCCACTCAAGAACTTTATTTGTAATATACATAATTTATATACATTATTAAGTTCGTATTACACGCCCTAAGTATATTGCCTTATGACATGGGACATAGAGCCATTCGTTGAAATAAATTCTTCTTGAGTTGTTGCAACATATTAGTGTACTAGCGGCCCGCTCCGGCTCCGCTCGGGTCTTTAACAAAAGTTTCAACGATATTTGACGTTGTTTTATTTTTTAAAATAAAAGAACACTTATTGCGGCACAACTATAATAGTTAGAAATATGCAGTCGCGACACTTTTTGTAAATAATAATATTTTCTACAAATTCGTAGTACATTATTTTATTCTATCATCAATAGTTTTCGCAGTTTCGTTTTAGTAAGGATCCCTAATTTTTTCAAAAAAGATTATTAATATAGCATATGTCACTCGGGAATAGTGTAGATTCGAAACAGTTAAAGAATTTTTCAAATCGGTTCAGTAGTTTCGGAGCTTATTCAATACAAACAATCAAATATTTCCTCTTTATAATATTAGTATAGATGATAAATTAATGTATAGTTTTCAACTTTATACTAACCGGCATCCAATTGTGGCACTAGACCCTGACCTTAATTTCCTATCAACCCGCCATCCTAATCTCTATTTCGGGTAATAGGCGCCTGTTCTAAATGCGCTCGGATTAATGACATAACTTTTCTCGTGTCTGCGGTGAATCAATCAAGCATTACCATGTAAAGAATGTAGTCACGGTGCTAGCGGGTAAGTTTCGACTAACTATAAATACCATAAATTTAGTTTAATTTTACATTAATTTCAGTTTTTAGATGTAGAATATTTCAATCCGACAAGTAATTTGTCAAAGGTCAATGAAACAAGATAGGATTACGATGTTCTTTTATTGCAAAACAAAATACAATCACCTCTTTTTCTTCTTCTTATCGTTCGCTCTCGGCTGGCGTAGCTGACTATAAATGAATTTGTAAAAATCAAGCGCCTTCTGTTTGTCGTGCACCGCGTTGTTCCTGCACTGAGGACCGACACATCTGTTCGTGTATTCCTCGTTGACTTTATCTGTGGTTTTTTTACGAGACGAATCCGTGCCTCGCAAGGTCTCAACGAAGTCTCTAGATGAATCGAAAACGACTCTAATAGACGTTCTATTCGTTATGTTGAAATGGCTGTCCCTAAGGAGTTCGTCCTTGTTTATAGCCGTTAACGAACTAGCGCCGCCGTCAAGGGGATCTGCCTGGCGTATTATGTAAAATGTGGACGTGGGCTCGGTGACGTCCTCGTCTGTCGTCACCTCGTTGTTCGCGAGATGCCGATCGCCGTACAACAAGCACATTATTTGAGGATCAAGGTTTATATCGCACATTCCCCTTTCCAGCAACAGCTTGACAATCTCGACGGGAAGCAGACAGGGTGCCGATAAGCACGTGTTGTTAAACGACAAGTCCAGAATTAAGCTGTTGAGTTCAGTTGGAGCATCCAAGAAGTCTATGTCGCGGCATCGGCAATCGATTTTGTTGTTTTCATACGTAACAGAGGCGCCGGCTGTCTTGCAACTAGCGTAATCGAAGACCAGCGAATGTGGTTCAACATTTTCTACAGTATTCCGGGCGAACGTGAAACCTCTTCTACCGGTATTTCTTCTTAAACACTTAACGTTCGTGAAAGCGTTGCTCTTGAGCGTGCCGAACTCGTTTTTCGATATTTCTATGCTCGAAGCTTTCAGTATCAGACCGTTGACCTGTTTGAATTTGTTACCAACGACACTCAGATTGTCCGCGGTGACATTCAACGAATTACTAAGGACGTCCCGAAATGTGTTTTCCGTGAAGAACGCACTGGTACATTGTACAGCCACGCCTTTATATCTCAAGCTTTCTATTTTGTTGTTGGCGAACGAGAACAACGTGTCCTCGTTCCCTAATATGGCCTCTATACCTTGATTCTGAATCTCACCGATACTCACATTCACGAACTCAACGCTACTAGCTCCGGTTACGTTGTAAATGGCCCTTGTGTTTATTGACTTTATATAGCTATCGACGACACGTATACTTTTCAGAGAGGCGGTACCGGAGCATTTCACTTCGTTAGCAGTGGTCGGTGATCTGAAGAACTTCCTTGGTAAAGACACCACTTCCTTCACGTTCTCTATGGTAACTTCCGGTGGCGTCTGGACCGGGGAGTTGTTCGATAGGGAGATGAATTGGAGTTTGTCGCAGTCTTTTACTTTGAACTTTTGAAGCGAAGATGCCTTCTGTAATATAGGGCAGTCGAGGACCACTTTGACGTCCTTACAATTCTGCACGGTTAAACTTTTTATATCATCCGTGTAATAGTCCTTTAGATGTATTATGAAGTCCTAGAACAAATAGTATGTTTGTAAAATAGTATTTTCTTCATTTACTTTAAAACAAATTCAATGTATTACATATATTATTTATATATACAGAGCAGGTTCTATACGGTTCAGCGTTTGATGGATCATTTGGGATCGCTAGATAGACTAAAACTATATATTTTTTAAATTGCCTTTGTAGACGAGCCTACAACCCCATAGCTGATGGTGAGTGGTTATCGTCATTTATGGATGACGCAGGCAATGACAGAGGTACAGCCAAGTCGCTGCATACCGACAACCTAGTATTAAGTTGTGTTTTATATACCATCTTCCACAAATAGACCCCTAAGGAGATGTTCGAGATGATTCCGGTCGTCATAGGAGCGGAAATTAGTGTCCAGATGTATGTATGTATTTTAAATGCATTAAATAATGCTCGCTTATTAATTTCACTCCTTAGTATTTGGAGAATTATAATATATGTACTTATCGAAACAAGGTTGGAAAAGTTTAAGTAAATGTCTATGAGCCTCGGTAATGATTTCTAAATCGCTCATTTAATGTATATTTTTAATGATGATTAAACTTTATACGAGTCGAACCAAAAGCTATAAACGGTGCATTTATAATAAATAAATAAATCTAGCTTATCTTTAGAAATAAATATAGAATGAAAGTAATAAATATCCACATTAAAACAAGTTTAGTTTAATTAATGTCTACAATTCGACTTCACTCGAAACGTATCTTCAATTAAAACAAAAAAAAAAACAAAAAACAATCAAAAATACTTACATTACTTTTGACATTAGCACAACTGTAAACAATGTCCTTCGTTGCGAAACAAGACCAGCCAGCGTTTTGGCAACTCGTGAAGTTTATTCTAACACCTTCGGAACTTATCAGGAGAGCGTACATTAACAATATGTTAAGGTTCGTCATTATATATGAGCGCACTGCGACGTCTCATTGTTGCTCGCAATGAAGCACGTGCAATTTAATATAACAACGAAAAATTATGACCGAGATAAGGCGTCGATGTACGGAACAGAAAAGCAATGGACGCTCGAATAAATATCACTTTATTTTTATTTTTACATCTGTCGAAAAAATGGATTTTTTTTGTCAACTTTTTTGGTTGACGATCGGCACATACCTTAAGTAGACATATTTGACTAGAAAGCGCATCTAGTATAATATTTTTATTACAGTATTAAGTCACGTTACGTTTTTTTTATGTCGAAGTTAAATAAAACTCGTTATATAGCCAGAGGCTAGGATTTTATGATATATATTTTAGTAGATTATGTTATGGATACTAAAATACAAATACAAAACAATTAAGATATACCAAATTAATCTATACAAATAAATATAATACAAAAAAGGTTTGTATGCGATGTCAAAAAAAAAATAAAAATAAAAATAATTTTTATCCGTTAATCTGTGAAATGACGGAGCCGATTTAGCAGAATTCTATTGGAGGAAAATAATTGGGATTCCGCACAAATCAATTAAAACTTGTGAACAAAATCCGATTTAAATAGAGAAACATTATTAACTGTGACAATCATAGCAAAACATTACCGGCCACGCTAGTATATATACCAATAGGCTAAGACAAAAAGGTACCGTTTTTTTTCGGTTTGTAAAACATCTTGATGTTTTTTGTTTGGCTACTATTCACGAGATTATGTTAAAAAAAAATAAAGTTTATGGCCTCATATTTTAAACCAGTTACAAAAATAGTCAACATAATAGAAATACTAAAGTTTTTTGGATACAAATCAGGTCATTTTTTTTGTTTCCAAAAAAACATTTTAAAGTTATATTTGTAATAAATAAATAAAAATTAAGATTACAGTGGATATGCCCGAATTTAGATCCTTGGGGGTCACTTATGATAATAGTCGTGGACAATGATTTCAACTATTTAAAAGTTAGCCTACACTTTTGACAGGGGAAGGGAACCGTACTAAAAAAAAGCAAGCAGTACTAGTGATTCCTGATAAACACAAAAAGCTATGAAATATATTTTTGGAAATTTTTATGCTATATCAAGCAGTTAACAGTCGATTGACGCGCGTTGTTCGATCTTTTCGACATTTTTTTTTTTTTATTGCTTGATTGGGTGGACGAGCTCACAGCCCACCTGGTGTTAAGTGGTTACTGGAGCCCATAGACATCTACAACGTAAATGCGCCACCCATCTCGAGATATAAGTTCTACGGTCTCAGTATAGTTACAACGGCTACCCCACCCTTCGAACCGAAACGCATTACTGCTTCACGGCGGAAATAGGCGGGGTGGTGGTACCTACCCGTGCGGACTCCCAAGAGGTCCTACCACCAGTGACTAGGAGTCGTTTTTGCTTTAGTCGTTTTTGCTAGCTCACTAAAAAACTTTTTAAAACGTTGTGTATTGATGCTTAGCTTGGCAAATGAATTTCGTTTTTCATTTATGTTGAAATAGTGTATTATTGCTACTTCAGCTATGGGAATTATTTCTTTATTTTACTGGGAAATATTTTATGATGGCCTACCAAATTATTAATTTTATTCCTAAATAAAATTAATAATTTTAGTATAGATCGACATAGACACTACAAGACATGAGTTTTAATTGTATAGGACTGAAGAATCCTTCAAATCAGAATATATGACTGCTTCGCGACAGAAATAAGCAGCACCTAACCATACAGGCTCACAGTACGTCTTACAATAAGTAAATTCATGAGATTAGCGCATTTACAAATAATTGAAATTTTCAAAACATTAATAGATATTTAATCTTCGACAAATATTTGCAGAATAAATACATTAGTCTCGTTCCTATCGCGTACAATTTACATCGTAAAGGTCATGACGGCTGATAGCGAAGCGCCCACCTAAATTTTAATTATAGACCACATATGTGTATATATGTACATATAAGCTGAATATTCGTGATAACGGTTATGTCTAGACATCGGAACCTTATTTGTTTGGAATACGGTTTAAAATTTTACGTAATTTTATCGGCAATAAATTCATTCGAGCCGTTACCAAAACTGCTTTGCGTTCTGGAAGAACGAATCGGTTGAGAAAAAAATAATAATTTAGTTTTTAAATTGAATTCATTCATATTTATCGTTACTAATGAATTACTGGTGGTAGGACCTCTTGGGAGTCCGCACGGGTAGGTACCACCACCCCGCCTATTTCCGCCGTGAAGCAGTAATGCGTTTCGGTTCGAAGGGTGGGGCAGCCGTTGTAACTATACTGAGACCTTACAACTTATATCTCAAGGTGGGTGGCGCATTTACGTTGTAGATGTCTATGGGCTCCAGTGACCACTTAACATCAGGTGGGCTGTGAGCTCGTCCAACCATCTAAGCTATAAAAAAATAATAAAAAATTATAATTGAACAGAATGGCTGCAACGACTCGCATAATTAAGTCCATCGTTTTTCTCAATTAAATATTACGAATTCGTCTGATTATAAGATTAGCCCGTCTTAAAGAAACGGAGTATTATTAATATATATATATATTTTTTTACAAATAATTTAAGGTTATTATTGTGCCACTCACCTGAAGGTAAATATACCACTTTAGCCCCGAAGAGATTGTGCACTAGCCAAGTCCATAATCCATAGAACAACGCCATTTTGAACGATGCCCTGAATACCTGAAATTAAAGGTTACCATAGGAAAGAAAGATAAATAGTTTACTAGCAGAGAATGTGATTCGGTTAAAGCATAGTACTGGTATTATTAAAATATGATAAGTAAGCATTCCTAATTTAATGGGCTCTGCAGTAGGATTTTGTCTGTGTTTTGGATACTGGAAGGACAAGTCGAATTACAACTTTAAAACAACATAAAACTGCTGACTCTTTGATTGGTGTTGTGAAAAAAAAAAACAATAAATTTTCTACAGCATTATATTATCACAACATCCATACCAGGGGTGAATTTAAATTGTCTCTCAATTGTGGGCAAAAGGGGGATTGGAAGTCAAAATTTCGTCAAAATTATTTATTTTTAACCGATACTTTAAATAAATACTAATGGTCCCGTAGTAGTCGAAATTCGACTATAATTAATTAAAATTATAAGTTTGAACATTATTATAGTTGTCAAAGACTATTATATTTCTATAATCACAGATTTCGCCAAGACTACAATATAGACAAATAATATTAAAGATAAAAAATATTAACCTATTTTCAATTTGACCACAGACTTTAAGCATTAACTAAAGTTTGACAATAATCAAAGAGATACACATACATACATATGTGTGTGTGTCAAATAGATGGCAGTGGGTGTAATGTTTTCTTTATTGATTTAATCTGTATCTTTTATGCATTATTTTAAAAAAATATTAACATTGTGCACTCCTTCTCTATATTCTCTATAAGTGTGGGAAATTTCATACTCCTCCGTCCGCGCAATTTTCGTAAAAAGGGGTACAAAGTTTTTGCTTCACTTATTAATATATAGATAGGCGTTACTCAATTCAACTGTATTTTTTATGCATAATTATTGGGCCAATTTAAACGTTATCATGATCTGACCGGTAGTTTTTGAATAATCCTTAATTATGCATATTTAATTATCATAAAAAATATATAAAATAATAAATATATATAATAAAATTTTATAATATATCATACTGTAATCCAATCGTAACAATGGTCGGGCAGTATAATGATTTGGCTAAATGTCAAGGTGACCTTGATATTTTTGAACCTAGACTCCGGGGATTTGTCAGATGTGTGAAGGATATCCTATTTAACAATTATTTAACAATGGCTAGTTATCAATGTAATGTTTGTTTTGGTTGTATTGTTGTCTACTACTTATGTGGATACCGTTTTTTTTGTTTTTTTTTTTTGGAACTATATACTGAGAGATTACAGTGAATAGATAACTTTTACTTAGTCGTTATTTGTGTTATTTGCGAGATAATACTGAACTCCAATGACCCGAGTTTTATGAATTAACAAAAAAAAAGCAAAATACTAATCTTCCTTTTAACTGCGTGATTCTTGAACACGAATTCTTACCGTTTATGAGAATATTATGAAGCTATAAGTTGTAGTGGTATGGTAATTAGTGTGGAGCAGGTTATTTAAACAAAAATACTTCGATATCACAAATGGGTTAGTGAGCTTACGGCCCACCCATGCCACTTTGACAAAGCGGCACGACACGAGAACTCTTTCATCGTGGCCGCCGGTAACTACATTCCCAATCCTAGTCGACGTCGCCCAAAACACGTCATTTCGGATCCTCCCGATCCATTAACGGTGCTTTTAGATACCTTATGCACCGGTCACCGTTCTCGTTGAACCCGTCGCTTGCGACGAAGGGCTCGACGAGCGAATTAACCCTCAGACACAGCCCACTGAGTTTCTCGCCGGATCTTCAGTGGGTCGCGTTTCCGATGGCAGATTCTGCGAAGCACGGCTCTTGCTAGGGTTCGTGTTAGTAAAGTCGTCAGGTTTGAGCCCCGTGACCTCACCTACTAGTTAAGGTTACGCTGAAATAGCCTCAGGTAGGAAAAAAAAGGCCCACCCGGCATTAAGTGCTTATCGGAAACAATATCTCTGGTATTCACTCCGACAACCACGCTGACTGACTGTCTCTGGACTAGCGTTAGGAATAATGTTTACCTGGTTGATAGCAACAGAAAGTGCAATGCCAAGACGGGGTCCGAAATTCGGCTGCACCTGAGTGATCACTTCCACTGGCTTGTAGAGCGCGTTACTGGACGCTAGCAGATAGAACAGTGTCGTGAAGAATACTATCTGGAATATAAGAAAGCTTTACTATGACTTTCGAGTATAGTCATAACGATAAAATTACGATAGTCGATTTTTTTTTGTCATTAACTGTGGGTTGGCGATTTATAAAATTTATTTAAATGGCGTAGTCAATGACCACTTGGAATCAACTTAACCTTATGTATCTTGGCTTTTTATTGAGCGTCACCTGAGACGAAATGCAAATGATTTCACTACTCGGAAATCAAAATAGAAAATGTGTTTATTAAAATATTAAATATAAATAAAATATAAGTAAACAACAGTCAAGGCTTAAAAGTGTGTGTGTGCGTGCATGAGTGTGTGTATACGTGTATACGTGTATGCGTGCATGCGTATATGCGTATATGCATGTGTGTGTGTGCGCGCGGCCTTATCGTTAATTTATTTGTCCATTGAATAAAATAAAAAAAGATTGATCATTAAGGAAATTCGTTGTGCGGAAAAGAATAATGTCTTCTAATCACTGTTTACTTATTAGATATATTTTTTTGAAAATTAATGAAATCACAAAATTGAATATTCTTTTACCAGCCAGCTCATCATCCGTCATCTGCTGAACTGAGTATCAGGAACGAACTTTCAAGTCTTTAGTGATATCAGAGACGTGGACTATTCTTCTTTTTTAAAATGGCCGCGCAAACTCTATGTGACGCACCTGACGTCATTCGAGGTAAAAAAAGCGTCAAGAAAATTACATAATAATGATGATGCTGACTTCCGAAACGGTAACCACATATGACGTCAAATGATATGATTGGTGTTCAAAGCCGTTATATTTGTTTTGCATTATTTTGCTTTAATTTAAATGTCAAATAAAAATTGTACTTCTGTTTCATTCTCCTGCCCTTTTCCCAGTCATCTGGGGTTGGCGCAACATTACTGGTGGTAGGACCACGCATGAGTCCGCACGGGTAGGTACCACCACCCCGCCTATTTTTGCCGTGAAGCAGTAATGCGTTTTGGGTTTGAAGGGTGGGGTAGCCGTTGTAACTCTACTGAGACCTTAGAGCTCTTATCTCATGGTGGGTGGCGCATTTACGTTATAGATGTCTATGGGCTCCAGTAACCACTTAACACCAGGTGGGCTGTGAGCTCGTCCACCCATCAAAGCAAAAAAAAATATGTTTTCTCCTTCCATATTCCTCTATCATATACCATTTCTTCGCTCACTCCCATCTTACACATATCGTCTTTCACGTAATCCATCCATTTTTTTTGGATCTACGTCTTCATCTAAAGCCTTCCTTTCAAAAATTGTGCTTATTGTGTGTAATCGTCGAAATCCGATCCACATAATTATTTACTTACCATATTTATGAACATGTTGATAATCGCACTGCCTCCTCCGAGGAGTAATGACGTAAATGCACCCAAAGATCCGGCCAGTAACGAAACATTGCTGGCCAGCGGTGCCCATATGCTACTGGCTATAGCGCTCAGAGTACCCACATTGGCTTGTAACCACGAAACTACACCGGAGTAGTCGAACAAACCTGAATAACGAGATTAAATTGGTTTTTAATACGCTTTTATTAGCTTCAGACGTATGTATGTATGTATTTTTGTAACGGAATATTTGAACATGATTTTGACCCCCTTCAAAAAGTTGGATTAACTCGAAATTTGGTGTACTTATTAAGGGCCGATGACAATTCAATATTAAAAAATAATTGAAAAAATTGAAATTCAACTAAAAAATGGAAAATAAATAATAGTTTAAAAAAACTAACAAAATACGCTTCTAAAGAAAATCCAATTAAAAAATCGAAAATAAATTTTAATAAATTTAAATTAAAAATAGTGTAATCACTAGAATTTATATTTCGATAATATCCTGAAAAGCGTATTTTGTTAGTTTTTTTATAAATATTATTTTAATTTTAATTACGGGCGCCTCAAGTTCAAAGGTCGCAGCAGTTTCTTAGGACCTACATAATTAAGCCTAATTGAGCTGTATACATGTGTTTCTTTTAATAAAAAATACACCACTTTTGTTCTATTATATGTATATGAATCTATGGACGTAATTCTTGCAATTGTGTTTATTTTATTTTAATTTGAAAGGATTGAGCTGGTCTGATGTGCTGGAAGGTGGATATTGACACCACTGAATTACTTCGAGTTTGGGTTCTTTAGAATTGTGTTAGTTAAGAATTGATTATTTTCACAGAGCATTTTTAGGTATAGTACTTATATATACATACTTTACTTATATTTACTAAAATATAGTTTTTCACTCGTTTTCTTGTTCAAACGTTCTTTTCGAATCTTTAATGGTCACTAGAGGACATGGTCAATTCATTTTGCATTACGTTGCGAGTTTACGAAATACTAGAGGTCCCGCAGTAGTCGAAATTCGACTATAATTAATTGGAATTGTAATATTAACAAAGACAAACAATATTTAATCTATTCTCAATTTGACAACAGACGTCAAGAACAAAAGTTTGACAATAAATAGTATGCATGCCTATGTGTGTGTCAAATACATGGTATGTAGTGTGTGTAATGTTTTCTTTATTGATTTAATGTATCTTTTATGCATTACTTTAAAAAAATATTAGCATTGTGCACTTCTTCTCTATATTCTCTATGAGTGTGGCAAATTTCATACTCCTCCGTCCGCGCAATTTTCGTAAAAAGGGATACAAAGTTTTTGCTTCACGTATTAATATATAGATTAATTTACTAAAACGGATAGCATTCATGCTACGCCTAGTAAATCTAAATCTAATACTGGTTTGGAAGGGCTTTTGTCTTTTTCTACCCAGTTCAATTTGAAGGGTATTTGTTCACAAAGTAAGAGGTTACCTAAGAAGGAGGAAGTTTGGAGATTTGTAACTATGACAATTTCTCATCCAATATATAAAAATATGTTTAACACTTTGAACGCTTTGCGACCCATCGGTGGACTTAGCGTACTATTTAAATACCATTCGAGCCAAACCAAAATCAGGTAATCAGTAATTTTTATCAACTTGAGATTCTCATTCTAAAATTTATAAAATGCGATATTTTGCACGGAAGATCATACGCGTTTTGTTTGATAGCTGCAATCTGTGGCTTGTAGGAAGAGTTTACGTTGGAACCCTCACGCGGCTCACGGGTGACCCTCATCGCCCGAACGGTTCAGTAAGATAAGGCTCACCGGTGAGCATCGTGGCCTGAATGAATATACTCGATTTTTCATTTGGCGTTCAACGTGTTAATTTAGTATTAACTTATTAATTTGTTAATTTAGTGTTTGATAAATATGCAGAAAAAAAAAACGATACTAAATTGTTATGGAGGAGCGTGCGGCTACTGGCACCAGCAGCTCTAGTGACACAGCTGGTATATAAACACTTACTCGATGAGTCGGATACGTTGTTGACGAAGTTATCCCACGAGTCCTGTATGGCGGTACTATCGACTTGGGGCCCGACCGCCGTGGCGAAATGTCCCGACGCCCAACTCTGATAAACTCTATCCCAAATCTCCAAAACTTGTTGTTCGACGCGTGATACTTTCTCTGGGTCGCCTTCCTTCAAGATGTTTTTAACCTGGAAAATTATCGACATAGACAATACGAATTAAAAAAAAAGTACAACATTATAAATATTTGTTTGAACTTACGTGTCTCTGTATCTGTCCAATCGGAAGCAAATGATAAAGATAATACAATAATTTTGCATTAAACTAATCATTAGGGTTCGGAAATAAATAAATCAATAAGCAATATGGTAAGTCTACTAATAGCAAAAATTATCCATTTACAATACTAAATAATAATTACAATTATCTACGAAAAAATACTAACGGTTGTCGATATTCCTTCCCTTCCGTACGTATACGCGTCATCGATAAGAGAGTCGAGTTTCTCTTCCCATCCCTCGGGGAGATAGTTATGCAATACACTATTCTGAACATACGTACTATTAAGAAGACTACCGCTTAGTTGTACCACAACTATGGCTTCCGAATATATCTATAATAGAAAAAACAAGATTATGAATTGATTTTTTTGAAATGATTTTTTTTAGCTCACACGTGCATAGTCTTTACCCAAACCTATAGATATCACAAAGAGAATTTCACTTCCCACCTTGAGAGATGAGGTCGGAGTCCCAATTGTATTGTTCAACGGCTCGTTACCCTTCAAAACGGCACGCATGTCTGCTTAGTGGCATAAACAGACAGGATGTTCGTACCTACCCGCATGGGGGTACAATAAATCCTACTACAAGTAAAATAAATTTGTTTTTATATTATTTGATATACGGTATAATTAGTTTTTCCTTATTTCAAATTATATTGTACTTAAGTAACATTAATTAATGACTCCAAAAATTTTAAACAATGTTGTTGACTTCTAAAACATATTTTCAACAAAGCAATCTATAAAATATAAATTACCTGTATACAAATAAAAATGGTTGCTACTGTAAGAAATAGTATCAAGCCAATGATTACAATGCAACTGGACACAGTATCTACAGAGCTATATGCCATATCTCTGAGGCTTGTATTGCATATTGACATCATTTTACCGACTCCACGTATATGTGCTGGTATTAGAGCAGTCTCCCTACAAAAAAAACATTCTGTGATATCAATGTATATAAATATATTTTTGTGCGTCAACAGATTTTGGTCAAAATATATTGGTAGGCAGGTGGCCATGAGTGATCTCAAATGACAAGTTGCAAGGAATAGTTTAGGGAACTATAGAAGGCGAGGACATAGGAAGAGTACCTCGCTATCTTAGTCTCATAACGTAATTGTGGTAGAAGATCTGATGAATATGATAATATGGAATATGGTAATAGATCAGTGTGTTTAGTGCGAGTTTTTTAACGTTATCGATAGCGTAAAAGTTAACTCAGATTTGTATGAAGTTGGAACGTTTGCCAAAGTTTGCCGCTAGGGGCGCTGTTCCAAATGCATACAACTTTAAGTTAACTTTCATGCTATCGAGAACTTTAAAAAACTCGCACTAAGCACACTACTCATCACAGTTTCATATAAATATGTTAGATAGCCTCCAAAATAATTCTATTTTTGGATATCGTAAAATTAAACATGAAAATTTATATTAAATGTGTTGTATTTACCTATTATTCCACCAAGCTTTTATCTTCAAAGCCACATTGTTGTACTGGTTTTCAAAGAACAACCAGACTCCGAAATAATCCAAACCAATCTTCATGAAGTGTATAACTAAAAACACCAAAACTAATGGCAGTAACCATATGTTCTTCCAGACCAACATACAGAGGAAACCGAAGAAAAGCAATTTGAAATACAACGCTGTTTCTTCGTCATTGTCGAAGTTATTCTTCATGTAATAATCATCGAGCGATTTGTGTTTAATTGATGGCAGGAAGCGATATTCTTGTTTAACTTTGCCTGTACCCGACAGTGGCAATGCGGACAATGTTCGCGTTTTATACAATATTTTCGGTGGTCTTGGAGGACATTGACTGGGTTCATTGCTGGTCCAGCTTCCGCTTTTGGGTAACGTTTCTGGTGTATCGGGAGAAGGGGTCTCCTTATCAGGGGTCCCCTCAGTTTCACTAGCAGAGATTTGCGCACTATCAGATTTACTGTCTTCTGTGTTAGTTTCTTTCTCTCTGTGACTGTTTGTTATAACTCTGTGTATTGATATTATGATCGATGCTTCAGGATCTGGAATGTTTATTCAATGATTTTAAATGCATTTAATGCTCACCTTGAAACATCAGGTTAAAGTCACACATAATTAACGAAGAACAAATGCTGGTAGTAAGTCTCAGCTGACTTAATTGGGGTAATTACTAACTGGTACCACTGGTACCACTGGTTGCATTAAATAATTTGTTAATGGAAGACATTCATATATACTCAGTATGTTTTGTAATAGCTCACCCTTTAACAGGATTTTCTTGTGAACATCCAGAATCTCCATTATAAAGCCAGTTATACATATAATTTGGAGAAAAATGAATGTGTACACTTGGATGGAACCCGTTAAACTAGCCATAAAGCTCGTAATTACGAGCCAAAGTAGTTGTGACGTCACTCGGAACATGTTCTCCCTTTGTGGTGTCCATAATGTGTAAACGCTGATAATGTAGGCCAAAACTATGGTTAGAGTCTGAGAAAATAATTGTATTATATTTGTACTGGGAAACATCAGTTACTAATAGTCAGTGAATATATTTTTTTATAATTTACTAGTTACATTAACTAGTAAAAACTTAGGCCACCAGCAATCTCTTCATCCCAAAAATAAAATTACCATCTAATGAATGGTTTTAGGAATACACAATCAAACATCAATTTTTTTTATGTATTTGCAATTCATTTAAAATCTTTATTTTATATTCATAATTGTATACACATAGTGAAAAGGTGAGTAGAAAAGTTTTTTCTACTAAGTGTTTATTAATTCATAGCTCTCCTGTTGTTAAGTGGTTACAGGAGCTCATCAGCATCACAAATTTAGTCACACAATATCCTCAATTGATGTCCCAATCCTAATATTTAATTGTCCTACTCATTAAGCATAAATGCTTCATTGCTTTGTGGCAGATTAGAATGTGTTCACAATAGGTTTACAATAGGCCCTACCCTCAAGCAACAATATGAAAACAGATGTCTTTGCTTACAGTCAAAGGAGTCAGATTCAGTTTATGTTAGGCGACATTTAGTTTTTTACATTATACGGCATTGTACTTACAATATATGAGGTGCAGATGCTTATTAGCATTTTGGTGGAAAAGCTAATGAAACTGATCAACTGCCAGAGCAGACAGGATAAACCTCGTGGTATAGAATCATACAACCATGGCAACACAAATATTGCAGAGAGTAGCGTAATTACAGTCTGAAAATGAAAAATATAGCTTTTAATTCACTAGTCACATGATTTAATTGTTTTCATAACAACAAAAGAATTTATAATATTAAGTCTATACTAATATATAAATCTACAGTGGTTTTTACGGACGTTCCGTTATAACTACTGAACCATGCATCCGATTGACTTGGTATCCATGTAGAAAATGCAAGTACTTAATGGATAGGCTAATATTTATACCAGTGTTGGACTCCTGACACCAGTTGCGGGGGCGTTAATGATGAGAATCTTTGTAGGGGTGAGAAATAATAATGTTAATTTTAAATGCCCAGTGAAGCAGACGGGTATAGCTAGTTTTTTTATAATTTTAAATCAGAAATTTAGAGATCACTGAACAATAATCTAATATTCAGCATTAACAGTAGTACAACTCTACTGTACACTGACAGACATTCTTTAAATCTTAAACAAGGGCATAACAATGGATGGTGGTTGATGTCCTAACTGGTCACGGTCCTTCTAGCAAACATCTATAAGCTATTGGCATTACTAGTAGTCTTCAATGCTGAGCAACATGCTGACAGATAATATTGTTGCCCGCATACCAGTGCAGTATGAGTTCGTAAACCAAGTTTGTTGACCGCATTAGAGGATTCATTGACTTCTTAGAGGAGTTGCAGTGCCAGGACTGGATTTGCCACCAAGACAGGAAGAGGCACAAGGTCTTTGAGTTGTAGAAACCAGTCCTCGGTCAATTAAGCTCCGTTACACTGATTCACTTAATTCACTACACTTATTTGTACCCAGCCCACCAAAAATAAACAAATCTTTTTCATGCCTAAAGAGTCAATTATATGTAGTTTCTTATCTGACAATTATTCTAAAGAAATAAAATAGAGCATCATGTGATAACAAGAACAGGTATTGCCATAATTAAGTTAAAAAAAAACATTAAGTTTACCTTGTAGTGCTCTCTAAATTGTTGTCCAATTGTGTCTGAAGCGAAGTTAACAACATTTATTGGGATCACCATCAAACCGACTATCACTGACGTGTCAGACTTCTCCAGATCTTCGAACCACGACTTGAGTTTCTTCGAAATTTTATATTTGAAAGGGTGCAGTATTGAACCGACTAATAGAGCCCAAAATAGTGGTTTGAAGAATGGTTCTAATATTAGGAATAGAACGTATACCGCGGCGCAACATATTGTGAGTATGAAAAGGGCAAAAGCATTATAAAACCCATGCTTCATAGGCTTTTCATTGCCTTCAGTTATACCACCCAAGATATTGAAAATATTTTCAAAAGGTGACTGCTGCATGGCTGTATTAGTACTCTCAGCAGATTCCGTAGAAAACTACTATTATTAAATCACAAGAAAGCCATAGGTTGGTAAATTATTGTTTTCGAAGCTGTACATAGTCCGAGGATAAGTGAGATCATTTATTTTATTTTTGGCGATGTATATTGTGCGCCCGAGCCCCGAATAACTAGACAGTGGTACTGTTTTACAGCTTGACAGCAGGATAGCTGTATAAGTAAATACATAAGAGTAACAGTGACGAAAGCGATTGTTATGAGTAGTTTCATTCTGTCATTTCTTTCAGCTAGATCTACACACCGGTTTCATTTATTCTGTCAATTTTTCTTGCTATTTGATTTTGATCTTTATACGAGGGACTTAAAAAGATAGAGTCATTTAAACTTAATCGTTTTCTTCCTAAAATGGGATGCAAAGGGGTTTTAATTTAATGTCATTGTAATGTGTTATGTGTCGTTATTCTTTTTCAATTATGAGTCAACGATTGTTAATTAGATTATAATTTGTAACGGACGTGACGTCAGCTGTCATGCCCTGCCGCCAGCCAAGCCGCCAAGCCATATTAACACGCCCCCTTCCGCCACAGCCACCGCCACCGCCGCCAGCCAAAGCCAACGAAGGGGGGATAGTGTTAATAAAACAAGCCGTGCCAGCCATTTCTACCTGCTTTCTGCATTCTCGCACAAATAAAAGAACTTGTCGTTACGCTGCTGGTTTTTATTGTCACATCATTTGCAACAATCAGAAGTGGCATAAAGAAATGAAACAACGTCATATACACGCTCAGATCTCTCGGTCTTCTGACAAGTTTGAAGAAGATGAAGCTCCTATTCCACTGGCGAGGAAGGTGTTGAAAAATTGCTTCAGAAGGAGGTCCACAAGGCGATACTTGAGCTACAGGATGAAGAACCTGGAACAATCAAATCAAAGGGACTTCGACGTCGTCGGACCAAGAGCGCCTGCCGCCCTGTCCTTCCATCATTCTGGTTCACGTGGAGGGAAACTAGAAGAGCAGCAACGCGGTTACTCCACTGCGGCACTACGAGCTTCACGGCGCTTCATGAGATTCACGGCTACGAGCTTCCTTCTCCCTGCCTGCGACGCTGCTGCGCGGCGAAGACGGCTACATCAAAGTCATCAACATGGGCTCGGAGACCATCATGTGGCCGCCGGGCGAGATCCTGCCGAGGGCCAACAGCTGCGAGGAGCCACAGCCAAACAGCCAGGTGTGTTGCATTTCTACTTGCCCTAGCCATGCCATTACAAATATTTCGAGATTTGAGGGTAGAAAAAAAAAAATTAAAAGGAGCCATTAAATAATAAGGGTCATTCAGATTTAAAAAATACAGTATAAGCATTACTTTGCTACGAATACACATGATTTAGGTATTGCCAATTTAGTCCAAATGCAAATTAAGCTTACTAGTGATCAGCCCGTGTATTGCCACCTTTACTTTCTCATAATGAACAAACGATAGTTAAATCTAAAGCCAATTAACTTTTAGATGCCGGCATTATAAAATAATCTGAAGCTAGTCATGCTTCACCAGTGGTCTTATTAAGAAACAGAACGGCGACAGTAGGCTATGCGTTGATTATCGTGCGTTAAACGCTATGGTAAAATATAAAAGTATCCACCGAACAGTACTTCACGAGTTTAGATTTAGCCCAGGGCTACCATAAATTAAGCATTGTGCCAGACACACAACTGCTTTCATTACGCCGCAAGGTCATTATTTCAAGTACACTAGAATTCCTTTTGTTTTAGCAAATGCGCCATCTGTATTCATGCGTTTCTTCTTTTTCTCCACCTTATTCCACTAGGTGGGGTAGTTAAATGCGTTTAATAAATAAAATAATTGAGTCTGTGGGTAGAAAAGAAATGGGTAAAAATAAATGTAAGTCAAATCGAGATACTAGCAATTTGAAACGATTTACCTCTACCCTCAGTTGGTATAAAATCAGGTTCAATAATTATTGAGAAAGTACTTGGGAAATTTTATGGTGGAGACTTAAAATTAAATGAGTAAATGCTCATTCTTGGAGAAAAAAGTCACTTATTTAGGTCATGAAATATCTTCAGACGGTATACAGCCAGGTGCAACAAAAATTGACGGCCGTTTCGCAGTTTCCTGTGCCAAATAATGCTCATAGTGTGCGACAGTTTATTGGTTATGTTACTTTAGAAAGTTTATTCCCAGTTTTGCCGTGATTGCGCGTCCATTAACTGAGTTAAGAAAAAGAAAAATCATGGGTGTGGGGCCGTGAACATAACGCGAATTTCGAACAACTGAAAAACAGTTTATGTTCCAAACCTATGCTAGCTCTGTATAATCTTATGCTTCTTACAGAAATACAAACCGATGCGTGTAACTTAGGAATTTCTGGTATACTATTACAAAAACAAACTGACAACTCACTACGGCCTGTTATGTATTTTAGCCGGGTTACTAGGAAGGAAGAGAGTGTGTATCATAGTTAAGAGCTCAAAACCTGGCGGTCGTACAATCGCTTCGTAGGTTCCGTGTTTATGAAGTAGGTAAACATGATATAATAGAAACTGATTGTACTGTGGTTTGTGCTACGCTTACCAAACGCGACATTATACCACGCATTGCGCGATGGTGAGTTTTGAAAGAAGATTTAGTGTTGAGTATAGACCTGGTGAACGTATGGAACATTTGTAGACGCGCATAATAGGCATCCTGTTGACATGATGAACGTGAATCTTCTTAAAGTTACTGATTCTGTACTGTGCAATGTCAGGACGAAAAGCTTAGTTCGATTATAAAGCAATCTATACTAACATTATAAAGCTGAAGAGTTTGTTTGTTTGAACGCGCTAATCTCAAGAACTGCTGGTCCGATTTGAAAAATTCTTTCAGTGTTAAATAACCCATTTATTGAGAAAGGTTATAGGCTATATAACGCTAAGACCGCTTAGACCATCACTGTGTCACGCTAAGACCAATACAAGCGAAGTACCAGTAAAGAAACACTGGTTATTTTCCCTTTTGAGAGCTTCCGGTGCGTGCGCTGCAGAAACTGTTAAGGTTTCGCTAAAATAATGTGACAGAATTGTTCTCCTTTAAAAGATCTAAAAAAAAATGTCCGTGATAGCATATGTCTATATGTTAAGGTTGGCTCACTATAACGTTTTTTTATGCTAACCAAATTTGTTCTAAAATAAAGCATTATTTGTGAACTATATTCCTCGCGGACGAAGTCGCGCTGATGTTAAAGATAATTATGAACTAGTTCGAAAAACTTTTAACGGAAACAGACTCGCAGTCCCTTTGGCTAAATGGAAAATTGTACGAATGCACTATGACGACATTTGTCACGTGGATCTAAATCATCGTTTAGCTTTGATTAAAAGCCAATATTGGTTTCTTAAAATGACACGCTTTATTAGGAAATACGTGGCAGCGTGTCTTTATTGTACACATGAGAAGGATAACTATGTTAAAAAAAAGAAGACTGTCTATATCCGATCTCTAAACCATCTAATGATACTATGCGCATGGTACAAATAGAAAACATGATGCCCTTTTGTAGGACATCTAAAGGGCACCAACCAGTACATGATCGTAATGAAAGATGCGTCGTCTAAATTTGTGATAGCTGAACTAACGCGTACTGTAAATTCAATCGGGACCATTCGTGCATTGAAAAATATATTAATAGTTTGTCCAGATACCCGAATTACGTGGTGACAGACTACGGGAAAGCTTTTACGAGTAGGTACTTTAAAAAAATATATCGGAAGATAAACAGTTTAGGCATACGTTAAACGGTATTGCTTGTTGAACAAACTAAACATACAATTTTATGTGTTGCGGGCAACTGATCCTAGTGAAGCTTCAAATAATTTAAACTCCGTAATTTATACTAACATAGATTATAAGTAATTATTACTAACAAAATGTTATGGTTTAAAAAAAAAAATAACTGAAATAAAGCATTAATAATAATAATAATAATAATAATAATTTGAGGCACAAACAACACAATTAAAAGTAACAGCGGCTACAAGCCTTGATTTAATCTTTGCGCGCTCTGGTAGATCAATATGTGATGTTTCGATTCCTGGTCGCGAACCAGAAACTGTTGACGCACGGCGTAAGATAGCTGCAGCTAGGATAAAACAAGCGAGTACAATAATGACTCACAACTTTAATATAAAAAAAAAAAGCTCATGTTTATAAGAAAAGGCATATTTGTATCGTAGAGACAGGCGCCAACTGCTTAGTAGCGCCGCTAGGATTAATACCAAATTAGACGATTTGTACTCAGGTCCGTATGTAGTAACTAAAGTAGTAGTCGAATTAGAAGTATATCTAAAAGGTTTACGAAGTTATAAAAACTTCACTGGCCTGGTATCAACAGATTCATTAAGGCCCTTAAAAGTATAGCCCATGTGTCCGATAGCGCTAGTAGTTCCGATGAGTCGAAACTGAAGACCTTATTGATTATTTGAGAACTAAATGTTTTTGTGTGTTCCCCATTGCGGGAGCAATTGTTGCAGGATGGCCGAATGTAACGGACGTGACGTCAGCTGTCATGCCCTGCCGCCAGCCAAGCCGCCAAGCCATATTAACACGCCCCCTTCCGCCACAGCCACCGCCACCGCCGCCAGCCAAAGCCAACGAAGGGGGGATAGTGTTAATANCCCTGCCGCCAGCCAAGCCGCCAAGCCATATTAACACGCCCCCTTCCGCCACAGCCACCGCCACCGCCGCCAGCCAAAGCCAACGAAGGGGGGATAGTGTTAATAAAACAAGCCGTGCCAGCCATTTCTACCTGCTTTCTGCATTCTCGCACAAATAAAAGAACTTGTCGTTACGCTGCTGGTTTTTATTGTCACATCATTTGCAACAAATTACTAGATAATTTCTATTACTATTATTATTATTATACTAGTATTAAAGACTTACTATTATTCTTTATGGTAATGTACCCATAGACATAATTTTGCTTATGGCATCATCTATTTTTTATGTCATTTCGATTTTTATTTTTCTTAGGATTTATCAGGTTAACATTTTCAAGCCTGTTTTATTATTTAAGCTTTTTGAAGGAAATAATTGAAGAATAACGGAACCGAATGTATAATCTGTCATTAAACGCAAGTAGGAATAGTAAAAATAGCAAATTCC